AGTAGTAGTAGTAGTAGTAGTAGTAGTAGTAGTAGTAGTAGTAGTAGTAGTAGTAGTAGTAGTAGTAGTAGTAGTAGTAGTAGTAGTAGTAGTAGCAATAACAAGAAGTGGACCACCAGCACCACACCAAGATGAAAGAAGCATGGAGAGGAGGAATGCTGTTGGTGCTGCTGCTTCTTGTTGTTGTTGTTGTTGTTCATCATCAGCAATGGTGAGGAGGACATAAAGAACAGCTCTTGGGCCTTTGTGTGGTTGAGCATGGTTTGACTACACTAGTAGTAGTACTAGTAGTATTCCAGTATGGACACCAGTAGTACTAGTACTAAGAACCCCAATATCTTTCTTCGTTGTAGTAGTAGTAGTAAAGGTTCTTCTTGACGTTGTTTGCATTGTATTTGATTACTAGTACATAGTGCTACTACTAGTACTAGCAGTACTACACAACATCACTCCTCATCACAAGATGTGCTGTTGGTGGTGGTGCTCTTTTTGTTACTTCTTCACTACTACTAGTACTAGTACTGCTACTAGTATTTGTATTTTGGATGTAGTATGATGAGTATACTACTACTAGTAGTACTAGTACCTCCTCCGCCCCACCATAATAGTACGCTTTGCAGTACTCTATTTTTCCCTAAATAATTGTCCAGTATTTACTAAAGAGTTTTTGGAGTTTTTGGCCGTTGGATTCCACAAATGACTGTGTACACCAGCATGTAGAATCAGTACTGAAACTTGATCTGGTGTGCATGCATCATGTGATTAAATCTTAGTTCCTCCTTATTGTTTCACATGAAAATGCACTGTCATATTAACACAAGGAACTAACAAAGTTTGCATTAACAATGGTAACAGGCACCTCTTTTAAACAAGAATTGTTGTCCTCCTTATACAATCTTACTAAGGATTTTCTTGTAGTAGTCAAGCTTCTGGTGATCCAAAAGCAAAATCTGAGAAACCAGAAGCAGTACAAGTGATTGTTACACCACCACCAATACTTCTTTGCCTGAGGTGATCAAACTAGTAGTACTAGTAGGAATTTTCACCCCTTGGCCAGAGTAGTACTAGTGGTACTAGTACTACTGCCCAGTACTAGTAGTAGTGCTGCTGGTAGTCTACTAGTAGTAGTTGAATAACAACAAGAACCATGACACCGGCGGCACACCAAGAAACAAAAGCAGAAGCAGAAGAGGAAGAAGAAACAAGAACAACAGCAAGAAGAATGAGGATGACATGATGACATGATGACAATTGCTGCTGCAGACTTCTGGAGAAGAACTAGTGGTAGTACTTGTTCTTGTCTCTAGCCCTATGGAAGCTTACTACTAGTAGTAGTGCTGCTACTAGAACAGAAGGAACCACAAAATTATTCTTGTTTCCAACAACAAAATTGTCCCACACTAGAAAAAATAGTAGTACTAGAACTAGCAACACTGAAGCTTTCAACCTCCCAGATTACTGCTGTCTATTGCAAGAATTGACATCACAATTTGGTTGGCAGTACTTGCAATATTCTTGTAGGCTTGTTGTTGCTTGTACTACTACTACTACTACTTGCTAGTACTAGTTATTCTAAAGCTTCTTCCCTGTATTTTGTCTTCTGCTTTCTCAGATTGAGTTTTTCACTCTTGTTTTCCCAATTCTTAGTCGACCAAATCATACACACAGAAGCCAGGAGACATCACATCAAAAATTGTGATTATTGTGATTCCAGTACATTAATCCTCTATGGCCCAAGCATCCCTTTCCAACATAGTATATTATGATCCAACAATTACTATTTGGGAAAATGTGGACACTATCCACCCAGATGCTAGACACCTCAAAACATGGAATTGGTGTGATTTCAGTACATCAATCTGTTACCCAGACACACCACCACAGTACTTTGTGCTTTCCTACTAGTATAAGTAGTACTAATACTACTGCTACTACTGCCAAAATTCACTATTTAGTAGTAGTCCTCCTCAGTGCTTCTTGCTGCTAATAAATTACTAAATCCTCTCACCACCCATTATGTGCAATAATCATTGTATCAAAATCAACACCACTACTGGAACCCTGTCAAGAACCAGGAAAATTAGTTTGAGAAAAATGGGCATCATGCCCTTCTGTCTGAAGAAGGAGTATTTTACAGAAATTGGATTCTTGTGTGCTCTGCTAGTACTAGTACCGGTAGTGCTAGTAGTATCATTCCAACCACCCTCTCAGGAGTATTAAAACAATATTATGATAATACTATTGCTGGGCTTGTTGGATTTTTTTTAATGACTCAAAAAGAAAGAAGGATATAAAGGCTGAGACAAAATTGAGGTTTCTTTCCTTGTTGCGAAGAAGAAGGCACAACTAATACTAGTAAGAAACCCAGCAACTACTGCTACTACTACTAGTAGTAGTAGTCCTACTAGTACATCATTGACTTGGAGAAGTTCTTACTCACCAGCAATAGACAATGATCTTTTGAATTAGTAAAATAAGAGTGCAATACATCAGAAATGTACTGGTAGTACTGGCTGGTGGATTTTTGTGGCAGTTAGTTTCTACAATTGGAACCCATCACTCAACTATTATGATCATAAAATTGGAAATATTTTTTTCTAGTGCTAAGATAGTAGTAGTAGTGGTAGCACTATTACTAGGAGATGATAGTAGCTCTAGAGTATTAGTAGAAACCCATGATTGGATGATAGTAGTTCAAGTATTTGAGTACTACTAGTACCAGTAAACAGGGAGGAGGATCATGACTACTACTAGTAGTACTACTAGCAGTAATATTGTACTACTACAACTAATAGTACTACTACTACTTCCACTAGTTTGTTGACGTTGCCAGCAGGAGTACTTTATCAAGGAAATCATCCATGGCACAGGAGCCATACATATCAATTCCTTGGTGCAAAACATAGTATATGAATAATGATCTCCTCTTGTGCTGGAAGGGACTGTTCCAACATACCTCACCTACCTAGCCTTTATGTCAGCCAACCAACAGACACGAAAACGATGCTGCAACAGAAAGCCAAATAAATCTTTTGCAACTGAGCATTGAATTTATAATTTTCTTACCGGTTTGGGAGGTTTCGCTAATACAGTACAATTCTTATTTTTCTGGTTATTAGTATCTTTTTATTCGTATTGTTTGCGGCAGCGGCAGCAGTAGTCTTGTCTCTTCGTTAAAGTAGATTTATTTCTTCTCGTCGTCCTTCTTTTCCTCTTTCTTTTCCGTGAATTCGGCGTCCTGGGTGTTCTCGTCTTCCTTCTTGTCTTCGGCGCCTTCTCCTTCTCCCTTGTTGGCGTACATTGCCTGCCCGATCTTCATCGAGGCCTGATTCAAGGCCTCCTTCTTGCTGTTGATGAGTTCCAGGTCTTCCCCGTCCTTGACCTCCTTAGCCTCGGCGATGGCCTTCTCGACTTCGGTTTTGGTCTCGGCGTCGAGCTTGTCGCCATTGTCCGCTACGGATTTTTCGGTCGAGTAGATCAGGGAATCGATTTCGTTCTTGGATTCGATCAGCTGGCGTTTTTTGGCATCGGCCTCTGCGTTCGATTCGGCGTCACGGACCATTTGTTCGATGTCGTCTTCTGAGAGACCTCCAGACGACTTGATGATGATGTTTTGTTCTTTTCCGGTTCCCTTGTCTTTGGCGGACACGTTGAGGATTCCATCGGCATCAATGTCAAAGGAGACCTCGATCTGCGGAACACCGCGGGGGGCAGGGGGGATTCCAACAAGATCGAATTCTCCCAAGCTCTTGTTGTCCGCTGCCATTTCGCGCTCTCCCTGCATAACCTTGATTTGTACCTGGGGCTGGTTGTCGGCGGCGGTCGAAAAGGTTTGCTGCTTTTTCGTTGGGATGGTGGTATTGCGGGGGATCAGTTTGGTCATGACCCCACCGAGCGTCTCAATTCCCAGAGACAGCGGTGTCACGTCGAGCAGCAGAATGTCCTTCACGTCACCCTTGAGGACTCCTCCCTGGATGGCGGCTCCCATGGCCACAACTTCGTCGGGGTTGACCCCGCGGGAGGGTGCCTTTCCGAAATAATCCTCGACGGTTTCCTGTACCTTTGGCATTCGGGTCATTCCACCGACCAGAATGATTTCGTGGATGTCGTCCTTGTCGACGTCGGCGTCCTTCATGCACGACTTGCATGGGCCGATCGATCGATCGACCAGCGGCTGGACCATGTTCTCAAACTGAGCCCGCGAGATCTTTGCGTTCATGTGCTTCGGTCCGGTGGCATCGGCTGTGATAAAGGGGAGGGACACGTCCGTCTGGGCCAGGCCGTCGAGCTCGCGCTTGGCCTTCTCGGCGGCCTCACGGAGGCGCTGCATGGCGAGGTTGTCCCCGGCGAGGTCGATGCCGGAGTCCTTCTGGAATTCCTTGAGGAGGTGCGACAGAAGCTCCTCGTCGAAATCCTCTCCTCCGAGCATGGTGTCTCCGTTGGTGGCCTTGACCTCGAACACCCCGCCCTGGATTTCCAGGACGCTCACGTCGAAGGTTCCTCCCCCAAGGTCAAAGACGGCGATCGTCTTTCCGTCGGCCTTGTCCATTCCGTAGGCCAGCGAGGCGGCCGTGGGTTCGTTGATGATGCGGAGCACGTCGAGTCCGGCGATTTTTCCGGCGTCCTTGGTGGCCTGTCGCTGGCTATCGTTAAAGTAGGCGGGGACCGTGACGACGGCCTTGCTCACGGTTCTTCCCAAAAATCCCTCAGCGGTTTCCTTCATCTTCCCCAGGACCATCGATCCGATCTGGCTGGGCGAGTACTTGGTTCCCTGGGTGTCGGCGACCCAGGCGTCGTCGTTGTGGTCGCTCTTCACGATCTTGTACGGGACGAGGCCCTGGATGGTGTTGACCTCCTTGTCGTTGTACCCGCGGCCGATGAGACGCTTCACGGCGTACATGGTATTTTCTGGGTTCGTCACGGCCTGTCGCTTGGCAGCCATTCCCACCAGTCGCTCGGCTTCGGCACCTCCTTCGCCGTGGACAAAGGCGACGACGGAGGGAGTGGTCCGGGCACCCTCCGAGTTTTCGATGACGCGGGCGGTGCGGCCCTCCTACACCAAACAACAAAACACACACACAAAAAAGAGAGCCATTCACGCGAATGCACAAACACATCCATTTGGAAACGTTTGTCGGAGCATTCGTTGACGGCAACGCGAAAGACCCCAAAAAAGAAAAAAACGACAAACCAGTGAGTGATCGAACAAGTGAATGCTTTGGGTCTTCGACAGGAAAGGGATCGAATCGGACTGTAGCGGAGCATAGCCATCGAAACAAAATGCACAACACTCTTTGAACTGGACTGGCAGTGCAAGGATAAAGATGGGCAAGGAAGGAAGAGTTTCCAGAGGGCGGATCCGATCGAATCCATACGAATCGAGTCGAGTCGAGTCGACAAGGCTGCGAACCACAAGGATTGATGGAACATCGAATCGAATCGAATCGAATCGAGTCAAATCGAATCGCCATACTGCTTTAGGTTTCAGTCTCCTTCCATAAGCAATCGGCAGTTCGCTGCATACCAAAGGTAGACGAGATGATCTTGTCGAAACAGCACATCGTTCGTCCAACAAAGAAAAATAGCCATACCAGTGATTGGTATGATGGATTTGTTTGCGTTTCGATCAATATTCTGTCGTTCCAAGCTTTCTTTTGGCCTTGCTCGGTTTCGGTACTTCCTTTCCGTTCCCACTTCCAATCCATTGACTGTCGAATCCAAATTCAGAGCGGTTCGATCCGGGTTTGGCATTCCTTTTCTAATCCTTTTCCTTTCCTTTCCTTTCATTCCATTCCGTTGAATTTCAATTCTATCCCAGGAAACAAACGCACCATGATGGAAACGCACGAGTTCGTGGTTCCGAGATCGATTCCGATCACGTCGCCGGCGTCATCGGACTTGAACCGACGGGCAATTCCGTCGAATGCCCCGATCGAAACACCGGGGGTGGTGGCCTTCTTGGCGGCCAGGGACGAGAGGCTTCTTCGCAATACCGACGACGAGAGCATAGTGTTGTTGAGTGTTGAGTGCTTTCTGTGTGTGTTCTGTGTGTGTTCTGTATGCGTTGCGTTGCTGGGAGGGGTCGCTTGCCAACTGCTCCGGTGATTTGAGAATGGGAAAACAACCGTGCGGGTGAGTCGGAAGAAACTGGTGTAGTGTTGTAGTGAGAGTGCCGTACGGTATGGTACGTACTTTACCATACGAGAACCTTTGGCGTATCGTGAGCACCGTAGGGCACCAGTACCTTTCAGTACCACGCATCGATTCGGGAAAGGTAGGTAGGTAGGTAGAAGTAGTTTGTTTGTTGTTCTCATCTGTTCGAGTCAGTGGCGGCCGTGAATTGTGTGGTGGAAAGGCAACAGGCACGATTGGATGGATCAGTCACGAAGATTATCGAAGATCGTCGAAGAAGAATTGCTTTGGTTTGTGGTTCGGGGACACTGATACATTCGATTTTGATTGGCCATGTAACATGTTTTACTATTTTTGATTGGCTGGATCTTTTGGGACATCCATTCGTATTGTACCTACCATTCGATACCGTATTTGTTGCGGTTTTGGTTTTCTCCTTTTTTGATGATCCTCGTGGGTCGGTTTTTGTGAGGTCTCCATTCGAATTCGTGAATGAACAAATGAGTCGAACGAATCACCTATCGATTCATCGACCATCGACGTGGCGCGCCTCATCGGAATGCAGGTTTGACAGGTGACGGGCAGACTTAAATGAAGGTAACGTTCGAATGCATGAATCATACTGTTTTGCGGTATGTACGACTACCGTACGTCATGTGTTACTATGATTAGGAAAGAACATTGTTGGGTTTGGATGGGAATTTGCTATTACAGTTAAACTCTTTCTACAGGTTACATACACTCGGTTGCTGTTCGTGTCATCGCTAATGATTGTTTTCTCAAATATACATTGCACAAAATTGTGTGGAGGCCTTCGAGCCTCTCCCCCGGGGTTTCTCTCGTTTCGTTTCGTTTCGTTTCGCCTCGCCTCGCCGCCTCTAAAAGCGGGGAATCACCAGCACCGATTCCCGAAACCTCTGCGAGTCGTCCCCGCTCCCGAGCGGAGCCATGATGCGCTGGTGAGGGTGCAGGGGCAACAGAACCGACGAGGACGCGTTCGAAAAGACGTCGTCCTGCTCGTTCTCGTAGTAGAATTGGCCGTCGCATCCGGGGGGGAGGTTCTCTTTGGATTCCTCGTGCCGGTAGTTCGTGGGACTCATCCGGATCAGGTACCGGTAGGCACTGCTGTCGTGGCTGCTCTGGTCCTGTTCTTGGTCGGGTTCCCTGCAGGGGTGTTTTGTCGGTGTGTGGTGGAGGGGCTGGCTCAAAACGACTTCCCGCCCGGCAACAGGCAATGCCGAGGGGCCGTCCTCGTTCTTCGTCTCCTCGCTGTCCGGCATCGCCCGCCGGGTGGCTCGCTGCTTGAGCTTCCACCTCGGGGGGCTCGGCGTGGACGGGAAGTGTTGCTCCCGTGGTCCCAGGTCGTGGTCGTCGTCGTCGAACTCCCTGGCAAAGCTGTGCGAGAGCGAGACCGTCGTGTAGGTATCGGCGGCGCTCGGCGACGGGCTGGGAGGCGTCGGCCGGCCCCGGCTCCTCCTCGTCGGCGACTCCGAGGGCGATGGCTGCCGGCGGCGCCTCTGGCGGTCCAGCAGGCGCGGAGCGTCGAGCGGGGAGGATTCCTCGCCCTCGCTTCCGCTCTCGCCGGCCTCGTCGATGGTGGACGAGGCGCACAGGTACTTGCCCGTTTCGAAATACTGGTCAAAGGAGTAGCAGGTTCGAAGGGTGGTGGCGAGAAGGTGGGTCGTCGAGGTGCTGGTGGCAGACCTGGGAGAAAGGTGGGTGGTGGCAATGGCGGCACCGGCATCGGCTTCCGGAGACCCTTGCCTTCGGCGGCGATGGATCGATTGCTTCCTGGCCGGCTTCTTGGAGGGGTAGATGTGCGACGACGACGCTGTTTCGTCGTCTTCTTCGAGGAGGTCGTCTAGGAGGCTGTTGTTGTGGCCGTACTGCTCGTAATCGTCGTGGGATGCCACCACCGACCGGAGGGATTCCCACTTGGAATCCGAGATCTTGGTCGGCGACGTGTCGAACACCGGGTTGGACCTCTGGATGCTCACAATGGAGGAAGACGGCTCCAGTGTCTGTTGTGGTTTCGACCGCGAGTTGGGATAGTACTCGTAGTCGGCGTTGTCTACCACCACGTCCACGGCGGACGAGGTGTTGCAGACGCAGAGCTGGTCGAAGACCATCGTAGGGGCCCGGAAAAACGAGGTGCTCCAGTATTCGACAAACCATGGGAGGGAAGGAGACCGGGGCGACGAAGACGACGAGGATTCGCCCGCTGTTCGATGGCCGGAAGCCGTGCGGAATGCTTCGTACGATTCGCTGTGGTCGTTGCTGTTGCTGTTGTTGTTGCTGTCATCCTTGTGCTCCGAAGCGGCCTGGGGCGATGGTGTCGACGTGGATGCCGACGAAGTCGATGCCGTCGACGCCGTCGACGACGACGCACATATTCGGGGGGATTGCTGCTCTTGTTCCTTCACCGGAAGGGTGAATGCCGACGTTCGGGTGCTTCGGGTGTGGATCGCAGACATGGTTTGGTTTGGATTGGATTGGATTTGATCGGATTGGATTATTCTATCGGCGGAAATGCCACTGGTATGTATGTGTGTCTATAGGTGGCGATTGAGTTTGGGTATTGTTTTCTGGTTGAGTAATCAAGCAACGGAGGTGCGATGATTTTTTGTGATTGCTTTCTTCTTTGTTGTCCAAAGTATGGATGATGTGTGACAGAGGATTTGTTCTTTGGAGAGGCAAAGAGAAACACGTTGCACGCGGAAACTCGCTGCTTATTTCCTATCTTGCGAAATACGGTTGATTGTGTTTTCTTGGATGGCGATAGTATTTTATTTTCTCTCAGTTCACGCCAACAAATAGAATGTTGAAGAAAACTAGTATCGGAACGTTCTGTTCTTGATAAAATAAATAGTACGTGTAGTAATAACAAGACTGTAAGGTACTGTAGGACGACGTACTGTTCTGTACCGAATTCGCTGAAGTCAACGGAGGATTGTGGCCGAAAACACACGACTGGTAGGTACAACTAGTTTCTGTTGGGTGATATTTTTGTGAGTTGGATTAGCGTTGTGTGTGCCACAACGTCGTGTAAATGCCGAGGAACGGTGTGACGAGCGAACCGTTCCGACCGGAACATACCGTTCAGATCCATACGAGTCGTGAAAGTGGCATAGTTCTCTGCCAAGCCGCACGATTGAACAAAAATTAAAAGACATACCGGTACAGTACGGCAACGTAGGTAGATTCTCGACGTAAATAGAATGCTAGTGAGGCACGGGAGAACGAAGATCATCGGAGAGGAGGAAAAGGGTGCCCCTTGCCGAATCGTGCATGCCAGGTTCTCTAGCGCATGGGCGCGGTTCAATCCCACAAACACTTTAAAACTCTGCGGGGATAGTATCTTTGTACGGTACATCCGTAACCTCTCGATTCGTGCTTGCTCCATCTTGTAACCGAGGGCCATGCCGGAAGAAAATTCAAGGTCGGAGTTGCCTTCCGAATTTTCGCGAGAACTATTTTTAAAGATGACTGGGCTTGGGTGATGCTCACCCTAATCTCCGATCCGGTAACGCCTTTTCAACGATCGGAAAATTCCGCCAGTGGCACGAGCCCGACCGAATTCCCACAACGCGGGGCTTCCACTGTTCCAAACCATCCTGTAACGTCTTTTCAACGAGTCCAAGGCCCGGGCTTCCGTTCCACGAAAGGGGGTGCGCACCACGCACCACATCCAAGTCTCGGATGGATTGGAACGCCACACCGGTCATTGCCACGATCAATGCACTAAAGCCCCCGCTAGCGGTCTCGTCCGCGACCATAAATTTCCCAAGGGACGGTCGTGCCACGGGGCAAACCGATGTGGGTGGGGGTGATTCCACGACCGCCCGAAAAATCTCGCGCAACGCCTAACAAATACTACGCTTTTGTACAGTACCAGGTACGAGTACTATGGACCGGACCCAAGTCCCCCCGAAGCCTATCGTTGGAATGGACCTGTGCGTCTTGGGTGATGCGAGGACTCTACTGCTCATCCCTGTACTATCGGTACCGTAGCAACCGGCCGGTAGGTGGTGGCAGAATTGCGCACCAGAGGCATCCGTGAAACCCATCAGTTTTTGCAGGAGCGAACACGAATGAACGAATCTCTCCAAAATTTCCCATAAAAGCCAATCCCGATCCCAAATATCACTTCCCATTCAACCACTGTTGCTCTGAAAGTGAACTTCGGAACGAACCAAACGGAAGCACACGATACAGTTGTATTCAAATCGATACAAAAAAAAGACCAACCAAAACAAAACAAAACAAAACAGAGCAGAGCAGAGCAGAACAGCACAGCACAGAACAGAACAGAACACAACAGAAACAACAAAGATTCATCGATGCAGTACCGAGAGGAAAAGTCTTTTCCACACTACTACAACGTCGTCATCGAATCTCCGCTCCCTCAAACCGATCGACAGTGCTTTTGGTACAACAGCAACGACATTTCCGACATCCAGAGTCCAAGAAGCAGCAAGAATCACAATGAGAGCCTCCTCCTCGGTCTCCACTCCTCCCTCATCTGTTTCAAGATTGCCCTGTGCGTCCTTTTGTGATTTCGAGGCGTCTTTTAAGGACATGTTTCGATGCCAAGGCGTCGAGTTTGCGATCGGCGACGGCAACGACATCCTCGCGGGAAGAGACTCCGACACCATATCAGCCACCAGCTCGGCGAGCACCGTCTCCCAGCGATCCATCCTTGTGATTGGTTCCGACGATGCGATTGAGGTCGACGTCGACGTCGACGTCGACGCGGACTGCGAATCGGCCAGGGACTACCTGGAGCGTGTTTCGAACAACAGGAGCAAGAACACCGACACCTCAAGTGCCAGCCAACAAGAAGAACAACGGGACGAGACATCGTCGTCTGGTTCCTCCTCCCCACGGCCGTCCCCCCGGGGCAAGAGCAAGGGCAACAAGAAGCACCACAAGCTCTACCACATTATTCGATCCCGGAGCAGCAGCAACAGCAACAGCGAGGTCCCTTCCTCCCCCAGGCGACGGCGCAGGCCGTCCTTTGGGTCCTATCTGAAACGGAACGATTCCGATTCCACCGACAGCACCCGCTCTCTCAGCGAGGACGAGAGCGAGCGACAGCCCCGAGAGCAAGAAAAACAGCCCCACGACCTCGAGCCCAAGGACTCGGACGACACCCGGGACAGCTGCGAACCCGACAGCGGTCGAGAGGAAAGGCAAGCACAGGCACAACCGAAACCAACGGCGTCTCCGCTCCCGCGAAACGGCGCTCTGGACGGCCGTCCGGTCTCGATTCTCCGGCGCAAGGAACGGTCTGCGGACCTGACGATTGCAGGCAGCGGCAGGATCCTCACCTTTGCCCCGTGCACGGTCTTTGCGGACCCGGCCGAGCCCCTCCGGGCCCGCCGGAAAATCCCCCGGCTGCCGAGGCAGAGGGTGAGCATCCTGGTGGTGGAGGGAACGACCGGAGCCTGCTCGAAGCGGGAGGTTCTCCTGAGCCTGCCCCGGTCCTCGTCGAATTCGAATCCGCGTTTGCGCTCCTCGGCGTCGTCGTCTTGCTACTCTTCCGGTTCCGGATCGACCGATCGCTCCAGCGACCGCGAAAGGAGGCGGCTCTTGCGGAGGGCCCAGCAAAAGGAGGCGCTGCTGATCGAGCAATCGGCCAGCAGCGAGCTATTGCTCCCGGCCTCAAACGGGTGCTACGTCTTTCGGTGAGGAACGAAACTGCTGCGATACGGTACGATACGATACAGCACCACATCGCACGACATCGCACCACGAAAGAGCACACACAGCATTAGAACACACCGCGACACCCAAACGAGGCACGCCTCACACACAGCATACATCACACTGCGCACCGCGACGCTCGGCGAGGCACGGATGCAATTCAACACGACGCTATTCACGGGACGACCAATTTTTGGCACCATTGTTACAACAGCTTTTCGAATAATACAAGAGTTTAGAATACAGTTTTATGAAACAACCTCTCCTAGCGACCGCGTCATTGTTTTATTCATGAACGTGTCGGCATCGTTGTGTTGTCGTAGTTTGCAAAGCTGGTCGCCGTCCGTGCCATTTTCGGTGTGTCCAGCTCAATGTTTTGTTGCAATAAGAAGGACACGCACCATACAGTGACGTTGGATTAAGTTGTACTAGTCTTTCGTCAGCACTTTAAATTTGAAATCAAGTACAGCGATATGCTTCCTACTTAGTTCTCATCGCTCACCCCTCAAAATAATGACGCCAGCTTGTGTGCCTCCGAGAACGAACCGCACCGTACGTGATGTTGAAGAGTTCTCTTTCTACCTGCCCGAACGGGTAATGCCGTATCTCCGGTAGAACAGAAGACTTTCTTCCCAAACTCCTAATGCACCTTACGCATAGTTCGTTCACATAATGCGGAAAATGCAACCCCAAATGCACTTTCAATAGCCTCAACGGCAATGATAGTTCTCAGACTGTCTAACTTTTTCAAATGCTTCGGATTAAATCCCATTAACGGGCATAGTTGCTGTCATGTGTGTTAAGACCTTCAATACGGAACGCCTCCAAGATACCGTCGGGAAGATAGATGGTTCGAGTACCGTACTGTAGCAGCTCACCAGCAATTCATAGAAAACTCCGTCCCAAAATAAAAGTACCCTAGGCATCTCTTCTGGTGAAACGAGCTCAATAATATTTGGGCGATTATTGCAAAGTATAAAATTATAAAGATCATATACAGTGAAAGTGTCTGATCTCAATGCCGTAGTTACTTAAACAGGGCCTTTTCTGGCATATTGCAAACGTATACAATTATAAAGATCATATACAGTGAACGTGTCTGACCTACATGCCGTAGTGCCTTAAACAGGACTTTTTCTGGCATATCAATATGATTTCGCCGTCAGTTAGGCTATATATACCCTTTCAAAGAAATAAAAACAGTATAAAGCTAAGATTCCTCTAATGTTGGTCGTGGGCACACGACAACCAAGATTATTGTATTTCGATACATAAAGCGAGCCGGGCGTGCCAGAATTTACACAGATCAATGGGCTTTAGGCTTGACTTGGTGGGACACGGATAAAGTACCGGGTAGAATGAGACTTATGGTTCAGTTGTTCCTGAGAATAAATTCATGTTAACATATTTTCTCGGATCATGAATTACTTAAATGTACTTCCACGGAGGAAGTACTTCGTTACTACTTTTTGTTAAGCAACACTCTCCTAAAAGGTACGATTTGATTTATTTCATTGCAAATTTCTGCTCAACAAATTCGAAAGCTGACTTCTTCTCCTCACAATCCAACGCATAAAAAGACACCATGACTGACATGATCGATTCGCCTAGAATATCGACAAACGCTTTCGGCATTGGCATCGGCATCGGCATCGGCCTCGTTACACTTGCGCGTTGTGTATATTCCACGAAAAACATACTCGTTTCCAATGAGCGTCTGCTTCTGGTCGCTGCTTGCGTTCTCTTGGCATGCATCTTCGGTTTTGGGAGCTATGTCGCATATGTCTTCCAACGGTGGGAAATAGGATTTGCAGGCAACCGACTGAACCGGACCGATGTGAATTGTCCCTCGAACAAACAACCCCCGAAAGTTTCCGAGTAAGTGCAAGCCAAATTTGTGGCTATTCTTTTGCTGGGTCCGCTTGCGACACAATCCTCACGTCCTTGGTGTGTTTGATGTAATGTCCTCTTCCTACCGCTTGCGCACTCTATACTAGTTTCGACACAACGAAAACAGAGATTGTATCCATGTCCGGACGCCTCGAAGCATTCAAATCGTGCAAGTTGATCGATCAAGTCAAAGTCATGGAAAGGGTAGGCAAAGGAGGCAAGAGACGGCGTTCGATGACCAGGAGGGCTTCCTTCAACGAATTAATTGTTGAAACGGAAGAAGAAGCTCAAGAACTCGACATGGACCACATCTACATTCGATTTTTTGACTTCTTCTGGGGTTTCGTCTTCATAGGACCAATGTCGTACCTGCTCTGGAAGAGAGGAACCACCTGGCTGGCGGTTCGTAAGAAACTGACCGAATGGGGCGTCTTGAAGGTCCCGGAATGCAACATCGAACGCCTTGTCGGAACACTGTGTCTCGAACAAAGCCAGGTAATTCATTATGTCACGGCAACGAAAGACGACAACGACCACGTCGCAGGTTTTTTCTTCTCGAGCTTTCCGTACGTGGACAATGACTGCAACTACAGGGTGGCCGACCTCTTTGCCGTCCACATCGATTTGGATACCAAGTGCTTCGTGAGGGCCAATCTAGACAACTTGAACCTGACGGCATCGGAAACGCTTATTCTCCTCTGGTTCAACACGATTGCGGCACAGCACGTTAAACTCCACGCTCTGGCAAACTGGGGTGTGAACAACAGTCCGGATGTCAAGGAGGCCAATCCCTTTCTGTACCAGAACAGTGTGGTCACCATTATCTACAACTATTTCGGATACTCGACCTTTTCTAATTTCTTGAAGACATGGGAGAACMAGGGTCTTCTAAAGCCTGGCTGGAGCGAAAGCAATTGTCTGATCAAGTGCTTCAATCATGGCATCAAGGGTGGCGTCAGGCAGCACTCCCAAATCACGGACCTGATGAAGCATTCGAGATTCGTGCGTTTTGTCGTCAAGGTCCGTTCGATTTTCATCAAGGAGTTCGGACAGCACAAGCACCTCTTCCCCGGGGTCGACGGGGAGGCCCTTTTCGTGGGCACCGTCCTTCATTCTCTCGATCACACCCTCATGGAATGGAACATGGTGGATCCCCTCTGGCTGGATGTGGATGATCCAAGGTTCGGGACCATGGCCCAGCTCGGGCGTTTGGTGAGGGTCGGCTTTGTGGAGGATGTCCCGCTCTTGTACTTCCAGAAACGATTCAAGGGATCCAGGCATCCCTTCTACGAAGCCGTCTACAAAAAGGCTGCACGGATAGACAAGGAACTGGCCGACAACATGGACACCTGTATCATCAAATAATTGCAGTGCACTGTCGCGCAACATTTGGATTCATGTCCCTCGTCGCTTCTGTACCTCTTTAGTAATCCTGAAAACATTTTCCCTACTTTGGTCGACAAGGGATTCAGGTGACAGCGTAACGAATTTAGATCAAATCCTTTCCTTCGACAGGCCAGCGATACGCTCTTTTGTTGGAGCGCTCGCTGCCGCAAAATTTCCATATCTCACCGTTGCATCTCGGCTTCGGTTGCTATCTTGTCGTCGTCGTCATGACCTGACTCGATTTGATTAGATTCGTACCATATGGACCAAATTCTTGTGTGGGAATTGCGTATCACTTTTCACTTTCCCAAACAACTTTAGAGCACCAGACTAAGCGCTCAGACCAAGATAATACAATTACTTAGTGATCCAGGTCATTGGGATGCTTAAGGATGCTCTGGCGGCTTAGAACTAGTATGCAGAAGTTATAGTAGTAGTGGGCCAAAATTCCTGCGTTAATTCTAGGTATAATTTTACTCAAGTTAAACTCGTACCGTACAGTAGGAGGTAGTGAACATACCACAATCACGAGTAGCTAGTGAATACTAGTAGTAGTTAGTGAAGTAGAAGTAGTGAATAACCCTCACTGCTGTAAATTTTAAACCACGTACCGTACCGTACCGTACCGTATTATCGTATATTATCGTACACTACAGTAGAGAGCCTATCAACACATTACAGGTTATGAGCAGGTAAGTACCGGTACGACTAATATCATACCGGGACCCAGAACTGAATAGCTGATCCCTCTCTTCCTTAAAATTTCGAAGCGGTTCCCTTTTTCGATTTCTTGGATGGGGTTGGCGTCGGGGTTCCATTTTTCGATTTCTTGGATCCCTTCCTTTTTTTCTTGGGGACCTCGACGTTGTTGTCGTCTTCGTCGTTTGGTACGTCGTCTGGTACGTCTTCGTTGTCGTCTTCGTTGTTGTCTTCGTTGTCGTCCACTACGTCGGGGATGTCTCTCCCAACGACGCTCTGGCGGGACTTGACCACGATCGACTCGTCGCCGCGGTCCGCCAGCGCACCGGTGGCCTCCCCGTTCCTCAGCATCTTTGCGCGATCCACCACGAGGGACGCGAGGCCCGTGCACAGTTCTTCCCCTGCCGGAACGGCGCCCGAGAAGTGCATCCCCCCGTACAACCGAGACACCCCGCAGGCCTTCTGGATGCCGGACCAGCTGCCGTAGGAAAGGAGAACGTCCTCCGCGGGGGTCCGGCCGGGTTCCGTCTTGGAGGATCCAGCGGGCACCACCCATCGAGGCGGGGATGCCGGTGTCATCCGATCCGGTCAGTGCCTGGAGGGTTTCGGCGTACGCCGTGCAGATGCAAGACGATCCCGATGGGTATTCGGCGTGCTACTCGCCAGGGTCGGTGCATGAGTCGAGGGCCCATGGGATGTGTGCAAAAGAAAACGAAACATGAAACGAAACGAAACGAAACGAAACGAAACAAAACAGACAAGGAAGGTTGAGGATGGAATGACGAGATCCGCAGACGACTGCAACTACCGGAAGCAAGCAACCCATGTCGCACACCAAGAGACAACAAACGGGTACAGTTGGGACAGGCCAGATCGGAATCGCACACTCACGGGCATGGTCCGGATGAACGGCTGCCAATCCGAAGCCCTGATGGTCTTCGACCCCTCGTAAGGTCCGGCGTAGGTTGTGACTTCCTCGTCTCCCTTGAGGGCGTGGACGACTGTCGTGGGCCTCACCGCATCGTGGACGACCTTCTCGCGCCACACCAGCATCGTTGCGTCGTACATTGCCGTGACCAGCGCCATGTCCATGTACCAAAACTCAAAGGAAGACACCCCGGTCGCGATCGACCAGTTGATCTGCATGGGCAAGAGAGAGGTGAACTTGGAATCGTAGGCTTCTACTTCTGCCTTTTTCTGATCGTCCGTTGCCGCCTCCCGCGTCTCAGACAGAACAAAGTCTGCCTCTTGGCAGTAGTTGTACTCGGGGGGCGCGATGGCAAAGGACTCGTACTCCTCGACGGTCAATCCGTAGAGGCGGCCGGTGAAGCCCGCAAAGGGAGTGACGTGCTCCTGCTTGCTGAAGTATCCCCTGTAGTCAGTCTCGAGCAGGGGCTCCCAGTTCCAAGTGGTTCTTTCGCCTCCGTCCTGGCCGCAGACCTTCTCCTTGAGGGCGGTCGCGTTGAGGGACCCAAGGGAATCCTTCGCCTTGTACCTGGAGTATTCCATGTAATCGAAATCGCCAAAGGGCATCTTGTTAAAGTCGTTTGCTAGAGACCCGTCGGCGTTCCACCCGTCGGATTTGGAATACTCGGTCATATCGTCCACGGTGGCCCTGGCCAACCCCCAGGGCGTGCCAATGTCGGGGGGGCTTTCGTCCAACAAGTTGCTCATCGGAAGGTTCAGGACATTGTCCATGATGAAGGTGAGGGGTTCTGTGATGCTGGGGATCAGCACCATGGCGCTGTAGGCGAAGGCGTAGGTAATTGCAACTTCCTCGTGGGATTTCTTGTGAAACAAAGTCGTCGGTGCCCGTGCAGATGCGCCTGTCCCCACGCCCCCAGATGTCGAGGGCAAAAGGATGGAACATGGCGGCCACGTTGTAGACCGCGTTGCCTTGGTACAGCGCTACGCGGAACTGGATCGGCGTCTCAAAGGCCGAAACGAGTTCGGCGATGAGCGTGTCCACAAGGGGAAGAAAGAGAAAGGGAAGGGGATTTCCAAGGGTCGTCCCGTCGAGAAGATTCCGAACCTGCATCGTCGTGATGGTGCCGGAAGCCCCGCTTTCCGTCGATGCCTTTGCTGCATCGTCTTCCGTGATAAATTCTACGCCCTTCGGTTTGGTGCACGATGCAACAGGTGTGGCACGAGTAGAGCAAACGCCGAGGAGGAAAACGAGGAGGGCAATCAAAGTCATGGCGATAGGCAGAGGAGTTATTGTGCGTGTTTCGTTTTGACGCGAGATTGAATTAATGAGTGAAAAGTAGTCACAGGAAGGCAATGCAAACGTTTTGTTTGGCTCGTTTACGACGCATTGTGTGATATGTACGGCGAAAAAAAGAAGCAAATGCCGGTAGAACGAGTCAGTTCGGAGTTCGGTGACACCAGAAGTAGACTTAGTAATGTAGTAAGAATCATAATTGGAAACGTCCAAAAATTGCAACGGCTAGTGATGTAAGTTTTCCAACAGCAGGTGACAGATAAGATGTCCTTCCATTTACCATCGGTGACGTAAGTTTTCCAACAGCAAGTACGTACGTACTACGCATGTTTTGTTTTTGTGAGCTCGAGGGTTGAAAGCTTCGAATTCCAATGTACTTTCACACGGTGAAGGTGAGGGTGTTTCATATCTATCGCACTGTTGTTTGCGTAGGCCTGTGTAGAAATAATACTGGAAAATGCCTCTCGGGCAATATATCACACCACAACGTCGTACCGGTAAGCATGTTTTTGTTTTGTTTTTGTGAGCTTCAGATTTCAATGTAAGTTGGGTGTTACTGCGAAATGTACGGTACGTATCATGTTTACAATAAAGAGTGAGCTTATTCACTATCTACTCGTGACTTGGGCTTTTGTTTGCAGGGTCGCAGTGTTCGTTGGGAAAGAACAAGAATAAATATAGCTTGGGATACGAATGCAGAGCGCGAGCAGCTCATAACCTGCGAAATGTTGATAGGGTCTTTAGTCTACCCGGTACCGTACGATTATATATATTAATATCATACGATACGCAGGGTCTAACGATACATACGTACGTAGGAAAAAAATCCAAAATCCTTATGCGAAGAATATTCTGAGCGTTCTACGGTACCGGTATGTTGCCGACTCAGCACAAAACAGCAGAAGACTCCACAAAACACTCCTACACGACACATCCCGGAGAACACAACACAAAACAACACAAGGCAACACAAAACCTCAACACCATGCGTAGGACAACTGCTGTGTTCTCGGTTTCGCCTTTGCTCGCGGTCTCGCTAGCGCTAGTGGCTCTCGCGATTTGTGGCGCTGGAACCACCAGCGCCTTCACCGCTCCGGCGGGTTCCGTTTCCGACAGAGGCCCCAGCGGTTCGTCCCTTGCGTCGACCGTGGCCCAGGCGCCGCCGGCCGAGCAGCAACACTGGATGGACTTTATGAAGTTTGGCGGGACCAGCCCGGGCTTTGACGTGATCGAGCAGACCAGGGCCTTTAGCGAGTGCAAGACCTACGACGACGCCGAGGGCTATTTCGACGAGGACTACGTCTTCCGGGGGCCGATCGTCGGCCCGATCACCGCCAAAGACGTGAGGGAGACCCAGGAACGCTTCAACGTCATGGACGCCTACCCGGACCTGGTCATGGAGAAATTCGGCTATACGGTAGACCCCGAGAATCCCTACCGCTGCTACTGGTTCGAGCGGTGGAAGGGGACCAACAGGGAGGCGGTGCAGGTGGGCCCCCTGGCGCTCCCGCCCACGGGCCAGGTAGCGGTCGTCCCGACCCACGTCATGTCCGCCAACTGGACGCCCTCCGGGAAGATCATCTACCTGTGTCTATCGGGCCCTCTGGACCGGTTCGAGGGCAACACGATGGGCCAGGGGGCCGTCTTTGGCCTGCTCAAGACCGCGGGGGTTCCACTGCCGGTCCCGAGCGTCGGGAACCCCTCGCTCTCCTTCAACCAAAAGTACGTCGCCCCCCTCATCTCCCAGAAGGCCTTTTCGGCGGACGCCGACGTCCCGGGGTGGTGGAAGAGCACCGCCAAGGGGGCCGACGCCAACGACGTGTAGGGCGACACAACACAACACAACAAAACACAGACCAACACAACTACCGGGCGTGGTTTCGAGCGCACGCGAAACGTTGACAATCTGGATGCAAAGACGAATGAAACGAAGACGAGGGCATTGTTCGGATTGTCGGCATCGGGATGGATTGTTTTGTCTGGGAATATCACAAGATGGTACAAATTCGTGCAGGGGCAACGCTCGGAGCGATGACGGTTGCGGTTCCGACAAAGCCACGATGGCTGTAGCAGTCGTTGTTCCATGGCTTTTGAGTATACTAGTAGTCTAAACAGTAGTGCCACCCATCGATCCAAAGCAAAAAGAATCGCCACGGAGACACAGACACGAGTGCACCGTACCAGTCGCGATTGACTCGATTTTAGTATGCTTTCACTACGGTTCTTCTTGGTTTGTTTGTGAACTATTGGTCGACCCATTCGTTGCTCGTGTCATTGTGCATTGTTGGAATGCTGTTTGCTTTTTCTTTAGGTAGGACTCGTCTGACAATAGAATATTACTACTGAATTACTACTGAACAGTATTACACCGAAGTACTTGGTACAGTAGTTCACAACTCGTACGGTGCCTGGCATCCAAGAAATTTTCGGTTCTTAGTTATGATTGTGCGCAATGATACGGTAACTTGTTACTACAGACCACGAAGGTAGGAACGGGAACATACGTCTGTAGTCTAGGAATGTACCTCACTACATATGTACTCATGTTTGGATATTAAAGATTAGAGTAAATATTAAAGATACTACCGGTACCGTAGACCGTTGTACAGTACTGTACAAGATTACAAGATACTGTACCTCATACCTACTTAGCATATCTTATTTACATACTTTGGTACGTACCGTACTGTACGAATTACTGGTGAATGACAGACGCTTCGAGGAATTCGTTAGAAGAGTCAACGATGGTTTCTCGCTTTGCGTTCGTCACGCAAAAAATACTTTTCCAGTACCGTACGATTCTCTTACGGTATGTTACGTACGTATTCGTACATGATCGTACCGTACCGTAAGTACCGGACCCCTATGACACCTGTTGCCGCCTCCCGGTGGATCTCTCACGGGCAGAATCCGATCTTCAACCGATACAGGAAATAACGACAGCGCTATCATCAATCATCAACAATCTTGGAGTTCTCGAAGCACCGCACTTAGATTGTACATCAAAGTGCATTGCTKGTCGAGAGTCTTGCACGTCACAGAGAGAGAGGACAACCGAACAACACCGGCAAGGAGGTTTCGTCGCCAATAATCTCCCTCGAAGTTGAGTATTGTAGTTGACACAGCAATCTGCCTGTATTTGTATTCATAGACATATTCATATTCCCACCGCAACTCTCCTCGGCATACCGTCGGACGATACCATCGGAGGAAACCATCCACAAAGTTTTCCGACGACGCACTGCACCATAGCACAGAACAACACAGCACAGAAACAATGGCGACAACGATACAACATCGTTCGAAGAGACGAGGCGAGAGGACCCCGCCCCTTGTCGGGGTTCGATCCGCGGCGGCTCTGGCGGTGTCCTCGGCGCTCCTTCTTGCACTCTCGGCCACTCCATCGGTTGCCTTCCAGTCAAAGGCGACGTCCGCTTTCGCCAACTTTCGAAGCACCGCCTCCTTTTCTCCATCGGTCCGGCTCTTTGCGGAATCCTTCGAAAAGGACAGCAGCAAGGGCAACAGCGACAACATCACTCCCAAACAACAACCCTACGTGCGAATGACCGAAGACAACCAGTCGAGCGCCACCAGGGGTAAGTCTGCCCTCCTCCCTTCCATCGGCGACGTCGTCCGGTACACGGATCTCGACGGCGGGGATCTTTCCGGCCAGGTGCTGGTGGGAAAGATATCTTACGTCTTTGGCTCCAAGACAAGCGGGTACAGCGTCGAGCTCAACGAGCTGGAGGACGTCGGGGACGGGTACTTTGCCGAGTACAGCAGCGCCCTGCGGAACCGCAAGGGCCGCAAGACGGAGCGGAGGCTGGACCAGGTCAGCCCGCTCGCGGCCTCCTTTGTCGGCTCCGAGCAGGCCTACAAGGTCCCCCTGGACAGGGACACGGGACTCCCCAGCCCCCGCCAGGCGACCTACGACATCGACCGCTACGAGGGGCCCGCCTTTTACCAGACGGTCGACCAGGACGTCCTGGAGAGGGACGCCGAGGACTATTCCGCCCTCAAGTCTAAGCTCTTCCGGAACGTGGCGCTGACCGGGCTGGTGGGAACCATCCTGGCCAACGCGAGCTACGGGTCCGAGCTGGCGGTCATCTACTTTTTCGGGTCGGTGGCCTCGCTCCTCTACCTCTTTCTGCTAAGCGTCAAGACCGATACGGTGGCCGTCAACCAAGAGGACAACACCCAGAACCTGGTAGGGACACCGATTGCCAACCTCCGCTTCGGTGCCCCCGCCCTGGTACTGATCGGGGTCAGCCTCTGGAACAGCCAGAAGATGAGCAGCGGACTCGGCGGAGCCGACGATTTCCAGATGCGGCTCTTCGACACGGTCAGCAGGGACCAATTCGCGGCCGCCGTCCTGGGATTCTTGACCTACCGGCTGCCCCTCTTTGTCGGACAGATCCGGGACGCATTTCAAAAGCTCGAGGCCGAAACCGACAACACCACGGATTCTTCCGGAATCCAGCTGCCGGGGAGTGCCGGCGTGGCAGCCAAGCTCCTGGGCCGCGGAACCACCGCAGGAACCGATTCGTCATCCGTCGGTGGCGACGACAGCGACCTGGTCACCGTCCTGCTGGTCTCGGGGCCCCAGGCCACGGGCCGATCGGAGCTCGTCGGGAGGCTCCTGGAGGATTCGTCGAACCCGGACCCGGACTCGTCGAACCCTAATCCGCCGCTGGTGCCCCCGGAGCGGGTCTGGAAGAGGGACGACGGGGCCACCTTCGAGCGCCTGGCCCGCCGGGGGGAATTTCTTGACGCCACTACCATCGACAACGACATTGCGGCTAGCGACTCGGCCTCCGGCCTGACGGTGGGGGGCATCTTCGACGCCGCCAGGGGCCTCGTCGACGGCAGGGAGGTCCCCAACAAGAACGTAGTGGTCGTCGACGCCAGCGTCGAGCTGGCCAAGGCGCTCGCTACGGCCAAAAGCCTTCCAGGCAAGACCCGGCTGATCGGGATCTGGGTCGGCCTCGAATCGGTGGCCGATTTCAGAAAACGGCTCGAGGAGGACATCGACACCGGGGTGCTGGTGGTCCCCCCCGACGAGACGAAAGAATCCTTTCTGCGGGCCAAGATCAAGGAGATCGTTGGAGAGATCGATTTCGGACTGGGGGCCGGGATTTTCGAGTTTACCATCCTGAACGATGCGAGCGATCCCGAAAAAAGCCTGGCGGAGCTGAAGGAAGCGGCCTCGTACGCATTCAAATAATGAAACAATCGACGGGATGGGATGGGATGGCACAACAAAAAGGCCAATGGGCCAGCAGCCACACCAACCGCTGTTCTCCCTCGAACAGCCGGCTCGCCAGGAAGCAGTGGAACCGACACGGATTGCACTTCTACAACGGTGCAGTGCTGACCGCGCGCAAGTTTTTCTGTACATAACGGACGGAATAGATTTATCAACTAGTTGCTTCTTGCCTCACATACGTATCTAAACACATCGTGATCAATGCTGCAAAGCAACGCCGTAGTAGGGGGTTCGCGCTTGCAAATTCGCCTGGTGGCAATCTTTCGAAAGGAACAAAAGTAAATACATACTGCGGACGGAAAATTTCCCCTACCGTATGCCGGTGCGACAAGAAGGGATCTGTGTGAAATGTTGATAGGCTCCTTAGTGTATGATAATACGCGGTTTACAATAAACTTAACAGAACCTACCAAAACAAGCTACACGAGAGTCACGTAAAAGAACTACGCAATATGAAGATCAACTACCATTCTGCAAGCGCCTATTTCCTTGCTGGTGTCCTCTCCAAGGGCGTGGCAAACCCCGAGACCAACTTCCTTTCGGACCTCTTTGGGGACGAAGCCTTCCTCGAGTGCGTCCAGGACACGACGGCCCTAGAAAACAATAATCCAGATCTCGCTGGGGCGGGGGAAGCATTCTTCGGTTCCTTCGAGGTGGGTCCACTCCAGATCACCGAAGAATCAATTGGTGTGGACGTAATTTTCAACGAGACAAAACGTGACCCATACAAGGTGGCCTGCATGGCTGCCGGGGGACTCTACGATGCAATGGATGGAAGCATCACTTGCGAACCCCAACCCGACCTTAGAGGACCGCTGCCCGAACGCAACAGCGGGCGAATATCCTTCCTGAATTACGGCCAATGCGTTGCCGACACGGAAGAATGCAAGGCCATCAACGTCTGGAATTTCCTTCGCGATTTCTTTGAGGCGCTAGGAATGCAGTGCGATGTTGGCACTGTTACCGCTGCAGTTACAAACGGAGGCCTCCCAGAACACGGTTTCGGTGGTGATACCGGCGACCTCCAGTCGACACAGTCGTTGCCGTCTTCTGGCTCTGAATCTCATTCCGTGATTTGGGCGACCCAAATCGGCATCGCTGCTTTGCCCGTTTGCCTTGTATTCCTTCTCTTGTAGCTGCAACTATGTTCCCGGTCTTCTATATCTTGTAGTATCGTCCCTGCTTCTTCTGACACAGCAAAACCATTCGTATCTTCAGGTAGATATAAGATACATGATTTATCGAAGAACAACACAAATCCATTCACTCATTCGCCCGTTCGCCAGTTCCTAAGAATTCCAACTAGCTGTAGACCTACAGGATAATCTAATACGTACGAGTTAGTAATACTTCCACTAGCAATGATAAAACTATAGTAACAAAGAATTCACCAGTTTTACGCTGGATACAATCATTCGAGCATTATCCATCGATTGAACGCTGTCGTTATTCTACGATTAGCACTAACAGTGTGATAATCGCCCTGTGGTCGCATCGGTAAATAATTTTCATACTTGTCCTACTTTTTCTTCTTCATAATAAATTGAAAATTTGTGCGTTTTTGCCGTAAATTCTCTCGCGTCTCGCGTCTCGCACCATCGTTCCCGTTACAGGCTCCCGTATGTGCTCGTGTCTTCTTCTTCCTCGTCGCCGTCGTCCTCGAAGGAGGAAGAATCGCTGGCCGCCAGCCGCCGGTATTCGTCGAGCTGTCCGGCCTGGACGAGGGCTTCCGAAGCAGGCGAGCCACCCCCACCGTGCCTGGAGCTCGTGTTGGTCTTGTCGTTGGGGAGGGCCAGGGCCAGACCCACGGCCACGAGAAAGAGCCCCCCGGCCACCAAGAACATGGTTCCCGGGCCGAACCAGCCGTCGTTCTTGGTGCGGGAGTACACCCACTGCAGGAACACGGGGCCGACCCCGGACGCCAGTGCCTTGACGCTCCAGAGGGCCCCCTGGATCCGGCCCTGCTCGCTGTCGACGACGTTGTTGGCTTTGATGGCCGAGATGGTCGGGAAGGACATGGTGGCCAGGCTCGAGACGACGAGAGCGGTAAAGACGGTCGACTTGCGGTGGGCGATCCCGTACATGAAATTGTCGATCGCCCCCGCGGCAAAGGAGATGACCACCACCATTTTTTCGCCCACCGCATCGTTGAGTGGCTTCATAACAAATACCTGGACGAGGATTCCGCAGACTCCGATGATGAGGAACATGATGCTGACGTCTTTCTGGTCAAAATCGAGCTGGTCCTCGAGGTAATAGATCAAGAGTACCTGGTCTCCGCTCTGGACCATCCCGGTGAAGAGGGCCAGCGCCGAGATCAGACGGAAGAAGCTGTTCCGGTTGATGATGGACATTTCCAAAAAGGGCCGCACCAGAAATCTCCGGAGCAGCCGGGCGGGGCGGGACCCGTAATAAACGACACGCAGGTACCTCGACAGACCGTCGGAGGGCGACCGCAGGGATTCCTCTAGCCGCTCTCCGTCCCGCTCGTTGTCGATGGCATCCGCCTCTTTCCTCCGCTTCCTGGCCTGCTCCGCTACGTCCGCCGGCAGGGTTTCCGGGATCCAGAAAGCCGTCATTAGAAAGCCCACCCCGATGACCGCAAAACTCACCAGGCAGAGCGTCTTCCGCTCCAGGAGCAACCCGAGCGTCGGGCTCAGGGAGATCCCCAGCAAAAAGCCCGCAAAAAGGAGGCCCGTCCCGGCGGCTCGGAATTCCTGCGGGAGGACGTCGTTGAGTGCGCTGAGCGCAATGGCCATCCAGGGAATCAACCCCGTGGAGGCACTGGTAGCGTAATACCACCAGGGGCTCATGGTGGGAACGTGTAAGATGACGTAGAGAAAGAGGGAGGGCATCATGGCCATGACGAGGCCGATCAGGAGGGGGCCTGGTTGAGGTTGTGGTTGTTTCATCGTTGTGATTTGTATATGGTGGTGTCGTGGTGTCGATTGTTTCGTGTTTTTTTGGTAGATCGGATTGCGTGAGAACGTGATTTCAACCGTGGAGGTTGGAAGCGGGCGAAAGGAAACAAAGGTGAGAGTCGACTCATGAAGACGTCGGCACGCAAGAGCAGCGCTTGCAAACCAACAAAGGACTCAAATAATAATGAAACGCGTCACATCACATCACATCACATCCCATCACATCACATCACATCACATCACATCACATCACATCACATCACATCACATCAAATGCCAGTGCAATGCCAGTGCATACTCAATGCAATCCATGCAATGCAATCCATGCAATGCAATCCATGCAATGCAGCGGAGTGTCCCAACCGCAACCGCGCTACCCACCTTTTCGCCCGAGCTCGTCCGAGAGCGATCCCACCAGGGAGGACGTCAGAAAGGTCAGGACGTTGTTGACCAGGTTGGAAACGGAGGCCGCCGCCTGGGCGTCCGATCCGCCCAGGAAGCAGGCCTCGGGCTTTGTGGCAAAGAGCGGAACCGAAGGGTCGTCCGCATCGACGTTGCTCCCTTCTCCGTCTCCGTCCAGCGAAGCAAAGCCGTCGCAGGGGACCGTTCCGTTGTACCCGTGGTGCAGCCTGGCGAACCGGTCCGCCATGACCGCGGGGGTGACCCCGATCGTCGATCCAAAGCCGATCGCCAGGAGGGCCATGAGCAGGGCGATCTGCGGGGGCCCCCTCATCTCCGAAAACTCCACCAGAAAGGACCTCCTCCGCTCCGCCAGGAGGCGGGCCCCCTCGGGGCCGAGGGCCCGCCGGGATTCCAGGCGCTCGAGATCTCCCGGGAGGAGCAAGCGCCCGCCCGTGTCCGGGCAGGAATCCATGCGTTCGCGGTCGGGCTCGCCGCTGGTCCCCGAGGCCACCGAATCCAAAGCAGTGGCGCGGTCGGAAGGATCCTGGGGTGGCATGCTGTCGTTTCTGGAAGGGTGGGAACGGTGCTGCGATCCGAGTCTTTGTCTCTGCCTTTCTCTCTCTTTTTGTGTATAGGGATGTATGTGTATCTATGTGTATGCGTATGCGTATGCGTATGCGTATGCGTGTGCGTATGCGTATGTGTCGCGACCGGTACAGAACAAGGAATCAGATGGTGTCGATCGGTGATGTCTTTGAAGACACGATTGATAGTGGTAGGTAGTGGTATTGGCCAAACGGCGAACGAAAGTTCCGTACGGATCGATGGACGCAACGCGCAACGCGGACGTTCGACACTCGGAAGGCGTTTCTTCGCTTTGCTTCCGGCTGGTCGCGCAGGAACACGAATCAACGGGACAAGGAGTGTGGTTTGTCACGGATGCCGTTGTGGTGACAGTTGTGGTTTGTTCTGTTCCGTTGCGGCGTTGCTGTGCTCCAAGGTCGAGGGCGCTGTGCTGCTGCAGTGTGCTGTTGTTGTTCGTGGCGGTGGTCGTGGTCGTGGTCGTGGTGTTGCAGTAAGCACCGGAACCAAACAAGTGATCGAAATTCGAACAAACGGACCAGAAGACAACAGAAAATCGAGCAAACAGACTCGAGTGTTGTATGGCCGATGGTCGATGGTCGATGGTCGAAAAACTAGAGTTGATCCCGTGCGCTTTGCGCTGCACCTAGGGGGTGTATCGTCTTCGGTTCTGTTCGACTCGACTCGACTCGATTGTATTGTATTGTATTCGATCTACTGCTTGAAGAGGATCTTTCGCATGGTGAATGTGAATGAGATGGATTGTATTGATGATTTTGCCGAATGTTGTGGAACCCAGAATAAACAATCATGTCGTGTTTTGGATGAATCCTGCATGGGTACGTGTATTCGTACGGTATGTGAACGGCGTTGTTCGTACGAATTCGGACTGTACAGTATGTACGGTATTCTTACCACACAGTACACCGCTACAGAACATGCAGTACCTTTTTTTTTCTTTCACGTTACAGCAGTTTTTTTCTGGAGTAGTACGAACTTGCTACTTCTACTTCTCAAAATCCAAGCAGCACAGGCTTATTTAAGCTTTGTTGTTCTTTGTTGTACGAGATCGTAGCTAACCTTACCGGTATGTGGAAAATCCACGTCACGCCCTGATTCATTCGATTGATTCGATTAGGCAGCAATGCATGCATACTTCTACATAATACTTCTAATACCGATATTACCTACCATTCTTATGATACGAAATGTCTCTCCAGAGATGCGGGTGAAACGAATCAATTGTGTTTGATTTCGGATGGATTAAAAAGTAAAGTGAAGTGATGTGAAGTAAAGTAAAGTAAAAGTATACGGATATTGGAAGACGTCGCATCGAATACGGAACAACTGGATGCCGTGCGATCGATCCCGTGCCGTGGGAACGAACGAACCCGGGCATTCTTTGCTCCGGACCACGTCGCGGTGGTTGGTTCCGAAGCGTTCCTCCCTCCTCGTTCCATACCTCCGTTCCGTGACAATTCCCGCATTCCCACCGGATACCGCAATCGATGGGCACGAGAACGCCCCGTCCGTGCGTTCTGGTGGCCTGTCGGCAGCCTCGACACCATCCCAGCCGTTGCAATCGTGCTGCTGGTCGTCCTTGCTCCTGCGGCTCCCCCGCCACCTTTTTTTTGCCTCGTGCCACCGCTCCGGAACAAACAAACGAACGAGCCAGCAACCATTGCGTGCAGCTTGCTACTGCATTGGTGGTGGGTTCACCGTCTTTCGATCGAACCTTGCATCTTTCTTTGCATTTGCAGCAGACAAAACGTCGGTCGGTGTCATTTCTTTCCGTTTCTCGTTCGCATTCGCATTTGCAATTCGCAGGATGCATCTCGCATCCGATCGGCGTGGAGAGACTGCGGACCGCTGCTGCCCTGCGCTGGGCTGTCTGGCATCGGAATCGCCTTCGACCATCGCATCGCATATCGCATATCGCATATCGCATCGGATTGGTTTGGATTGGATTGGATTGGATTGGATTGGATTGGATTGGATTGGATTGGATTGGATTAGGCTGGAACCGATGTGCTCGACACGGCAACCAAAATTGCGTTCGTCGATCTTCTTCGTTCTCCCCGTCTTGTTCTTTTCCACCGAACTAGTGCAGAAGCACCCCTTGGTTCGTGTTGATGTGCTGGATTGGTTCATTTGTCCTTGGTGGTTTTGAGTTTTGCGGCGGTTTCCAGCTCGGCGGAAAAGGCAGCGTGCTTCCCCGCATACGTTGTGGCTCGCTTCGTCGCTTGCCGGTTGATCATGAAGTAATTCTTCACGCAATACCCGGTCACACGAAAGAGGATAACGACCCACATGATCTTCGGAAAGGCCCTGCCTAGCCATTCGAGATTGGTGGTCGGCAGCGGGGCGATGGAACCGCTTTCCTCCATGGAGGACAGCGTGCTGGGCGAAAACAGGCCCGGGAAGAGGTCGGGAGAGAGCTGCATCTCGGCCCAGGGGGTGGACGAGTTCCACTTGAAGACGGGCTTCGTCCCCCGTAGGTTCGCCATGCCGTGGACGATTACCGCCGGCAGCAAAAGGTTCCAGAGCGGCATCTTTTGGCCCAGGACGTCCCTCCGCGCCAGCCGCAGGGCCGTCATGATACCACACAATTCCTGGACGGGAAAGATCCCCCGCAAAAAGGCGTAGACCCCCTTGCGCTCGTCTTCCGCCTTGGTGTACATGCACACCCTCCGTATGGCGTCTGCCCACTTGATTCCCAGGCTCACCACCACCATGCCCGCAACGTACGGATTGATGTTGGTGACGTTCCCGTCGATATTCCCAACTCCGTTCGGGGGCTGGTTCGCGGGGGCCTGGGCAGACGGCACTTCGTCCGCCTCGTCCAGAGACTCGATGGGCTCGGCTATCATTTTCTTCTTCTGTTTCTTCGGGTGATGCTTGGAGCATCTCTTGACCCAGGAAAAATTCCTTTCGAAAACACGAGCAGAGCAAAACAAAACAAAACAAAACAAAACAAGGAAATTGGTCGCAAAGCCAGCGTGAGAATGGCGCAAAACAAACGAGACCCGGCTGCTCGTCCAAGTCCAAGCCAAGTCCTTCGTTCGAAACGTTCGTTCGTCTGCTTACTTGGAAAGGGGCATGGTCCACTGGAGCAACCGCAGTTTCACAAATTCCTCGATGATCGGACAGGCCACGCACGACGTCAGAATGTCGGCCGCCAGCAGCGTGATTCGCTTGGGCCGGTACTTGTATTCCCTCAGCACCCAGGGCAGGATCCACACCGAGGGGATGGGGTTCCCGCCGCTGCCACCTTCGGTGCCCGAAGGATCCGGGGCGGGCACCGAGGCCGATGGGGACCACGGGACCTTCGCCCCCAGCATGTCGGGTTCCCACGCCAGAAAGATTGCCAGCCGCAGCAGGGTCGTCCAGACAATTTCCAGAACAAAGATCCAGAGGTATCCAAAGACAAAGGAGGAGTAAAACGAATGAATCAGCGCGTGGACCGCCGCTCCGATCGACGACGGCCGAACCACGGACCGGTCGGTAGTGGGAGCCGGAGCGTCGGGGATGCTTTCATTCGCAAGAGCCGCCGGAGGAAGGGTCGTGGTCGCTGCGGCTTGAGGAAACGCCGCCCATCGGTTGCGGCCGCGGTCCACCATGGAGCCCACCTGGTTCCAATCCACCACCAGCCAGCCGTATCCGATCGTGGGCGGGAGAACCACCAGTGCCACCAGTTTCAGGTTTTCGTAGAACCTTTGGTTGTACTCGATGTACGGGAGGTTCCGGGGCGAGACGGCCGAATAGCAGGTCACCGCGACGAGGCACAGGCAGGTGGAGACCTTGCGGAACGAATCGAGGGTCCGGACCAGAAACGTAACAAAGGATTTCAGGCCCGTTGCGAGTGCGAGCTTGTTTTGCTTCAGGCGAAGCTTGCGCTGGTACTTTTCTTGGGCCTGCAAGATCTGGAGCTGCCGGAGATGCCACTGCTTTTCTTGTTGCTGCAGTTCAGGGGACGAGGATTGCAGATTGCCGTAGTATGGATCGTTGTATACGGTTCCCAGGGGTGGATTGTTGGCTTCGTTGTTGTTCGGTTTGGAAGAATCCGTGGCGTGGCCGGGTGACACCGAACTTCCTTCTTGCGACCGGTTGGTGGATCCGTCCAGGGAATCTTCGTTGCCTTGTCGCTGGTGTGCCTGCGGTGGTCCGTGCATGTGCATGTTCATGTGCGTGTGTTCCTCTTGTGTGCTGGCGCCATTCGGTTCGGTGGACGAGGATATCCACTGCTGCGATGGATGCTTCGGATGGTTCCTGTTGGGGACCGTCGGCTCTACCCTGGGAAGATTGCCTCGGTACCCAAAAAATGGCGACGATGGATGGTGGTATTGTTGCTGCGGGTGACCATTGTAGTACTGTGGCAGCGGTGGTGGAGGATAGGGATAGTAACCTGGTGGTGGCGGAGGGGGATAGCCCCCCCCCGCTCCGTAATATTGGTATTGGTGCAGTGGAGTTAATTGTGACTGCTGCTGCTGCTGCTGCTGCTGCTGCCGAGGGTGCTCCTGTCTCTGCCGCTCCTGCTGCGCCAAGAAGATCTCTCGCTGCTGCTGCAGGTATTGCTGCTGATGCTGATGCTGATGTTGCTGCTGAGCAAAGGCCGTCGGCTGTGGCGGTTGGGAAGCCGCGGAAGTCCGGGGCGATACGGAGGATCCGGCATGGAAAAGGCTTCCGGGCTCTTGGGCCAAAGGCGACAAAAGGTGGCCTTCGTCCGTGTCTTCCTCCCCGTCGCTGAGATAGATGGGTAGATTGGGAAGCGTGAATCCCAGCCCGTCGTCGGTGTCCGAAAACTCTTCGGTTTCCGAGAGGAGGTAGGGAAGCGTTGTCGTTGACGACGGCTGTTGTTGTTGTTGCTGCTGCTGCTGCTGCTGCTGCTGCCGGAGGTATTGCTCCTCTTGCTGCTGCTTCAATCGGATTTGTTCTTTTTGCAGCCGCTGCTGCTTTTTGTACTTGATCCGATCCTTGCTGGTCCAGAGGGAATCCGGGGGAGCGGTTTCGTTGGACGAGCTTCCTGATCCGGCGGTTCCCGAAGCAGAGGAGGGAGACGACGTTGATGACGATGACGATGATGACGACGACGTGATGTAATCTGTTTCGTCCAGGAGCTGCTGGAGTTTTTCAAGGGTTTTCAGGGGCTTTTGGTTCGAGGGGCGATTGCGGTCGTAGTAGTGGCCACGGGCCTTTGTGTTCGAACGGTTGGCCATCGATCCCGCCGCCGACGACGACGACGAGGACGACGAGGACCCCGGTCGCCTCCCTTTGCCGGTACTGCCTTGCGGCTCGTGCGGCCCCGGCTCTGCTTCGCCCTCCGGCGCGATCGGGACACCGCTCGGGGGATCGGCCGGTGGGTTCGGGTTCGGTGTCGCGTCCCCTGCTGGTTCGAGTTTGCGTTTGCGTTTGCCTTCGTGTTCGTGTTCGGGTCCTGGTTCCTCGTTCCGACTCCCGGGCACCGATGAATCGCCGGCGCGGGAGGCCGGAATTGGCAGGTCCGGCGGTGGAAGAGCGCGAGCGGAAGAAGACGAAAAAGCCCCCCGCGGGGGTTCGGTCCCGGGGGCTCCCGAATCCCCGCGGCCCTCGCTTGCCGCTGCGGCCGTGGCCGTGGCGGCTCCTTCCCGGGGCAGGGGGTCTCGATCTCGATCTCGATCTCGCTCTGTTTCTGGTTCAGCTTCTGGTTCAGGTTCGGATTCTTTCTCTTGCGTTGCTTCCTCCCCCGGTCCCCGTTCCTGCTCCTTTGTTGGCGAGGGACTTCCGTTCTGGCTGCCTTCGCTGTCGCCCTCGCCCTCGATCTCTACCTCGACCTCGTCGCTCGAGGAGGGGGAGTAGATTCGAGAGGAATCCACGACAAAGGCCAGTGGATCTTCCTCCATGATCAGGGCGTCGTCCCAATCCGAAGAGGATTCTCCCTCGCCGGGATCGTCGTCGGTGTTTCCATCGTCGGTGTTTCCATCGTCGGTGTTTCCATCGTCGTGTTCGTGTTCGTGTTCGTGTTCGTGTTCGTCCGTCGGAGGAAGCCTTGCCGTGTACGGTGGGGGAGGCTGCTGGATGGTGCCCGGGAACCCCTGGGAGGAATGGGGCGATGCGGATGCGGACGTTGACGTTGAAACCACCACCACCACCACGAAGGATGCGGTGGCCGCTGCCGCGGCGGCGGCTCGCATTCGTCTTTTCCCGGTTTGTGCTCTGGGAGCGACTCGTCTCGAATCGAATCAGATCCTGTTCGAACAAAGAGGTTTCTGTTTTATTCTGTTCTGTTTTATTCTGTTCTGTTTTATTCTGTTCTGTTCCGTTCCGTTTTGTGTTTCTTCCACCGCACCGTGGGCAAACCGAGCGGATCGGAAATTCTTGTCTTGCGACGGACCAGATCGATCGCTTCTTGATTAGATTAGATTGGATTGGATCTGATGATGTATTGGATTGGATTGGATTGTGTTGTGTTGTGTTGTGTTGTGTTGTGTTGTATGTTGTACTTCTACTACTTTGTCTCACGTCTTGCACACTTTGTTCACCTCGGTACATTACCCGTGCTTGTACGTACGGTACCGTACGCACGTATCGTACTGTATTTCAACGAGACGGAAAACGACGCATCTTGACAAAATTGGGTTTGGGCACCGGGAGAACCGAGACTGCAATAGAAAAGGGGACTGAGAATATACACCAAAGGGGGTCCAATTGATCGGAAAGGGGGGGCCTGCCAAGGAGGGGAAATTGCTTGCATCGGATTGATTCTCATTCATTCGATGAAAGTTGTGAGGGACTTCTTCTGTCCCGTGATTGCCAGTGTTCGTTTTCAAACACTTCCACGCGTTGGGACAGAAACGAACCCTAATCCGCGAGTGGGACGATGACATTAACGCTTACGAGGACTGGTACTCGTTCTTGGTACTCGTACCGTGCTTTGTCCACAAAGCGCGCCTCTGATGTCGTTCCACATCACAAGAAGCTGACACGCGTCAGGAAAAGCAAGCAATCTTTGTTTCATCAACACGGCTCAAAAACGAAATTGGCTACAAAGAATTCGTACGAGTGTGTACGAGTACGACGTACTCGTGCTTGTACATACCATACCGTACGATGATGAGGATGCATCAAAGATTGTCGATTGTAGTGTACGAGAGAGTACGAGTACGTACGTACTTCTGAAGAACTAAGGTGCCCTACGGTACGGTGCGTAACTATTACTCGGACTACTTCCTCCGATTTGCATCGATTGTCGTCTTGATGCCAACGATTGAGACGACGAGAAACAAATCGATCGAGCAGTACAAGTACCCGTACGAGAACTCGTGCTATACTCAACGCATCTGTTCGTCCGAATCCCGAGACCAATACCGTACCGCATTTGGTGTAAGCAAGGTTGAAATCTGTCGAGTCGACAAAAGGAAATATCAAACATAACTGTTACCGGCAAGAACGACGAGGCAGCACAAAGCAAACTACACAATGGCGAGAAACACAAATACAAGTACACTGCTGGCCCTTACGTTGGCAGCCATCTTGGCAATAAACCCGTCGTCTGCCTTCCACATATTGCGGGCTCCATCCTCTCGTAGTTTACCAACCACCATCGCAACAGCTCCGGCAACCTCAATCTCTAGAACGAGACGAATGTCGATGTTCGCGGCTCCACTGAATTCGGGCCAGACGAGCAGCGACGACGAAATATCAACAACATCTGCTACTGCGACTGCTACTGCTACTACAACTCCTTACACACTGCGGCGACGACTCCACAACCTGAAATGTTGGTTCCAGTATTACAACAATAACAACAACAACAATATTGACAGCAACGGCATTGACGGCTGTCGGCAACAACGCCGCCGCAAAAATCGTGCCACCAAGATTCTTGCCGCCTCCCTGGCGGCCTCGGCCGGAATCGTGGCCCCTTCCCCTTCGCTGGCGAGAACCTTTGCCGACAACGTCATCGACGGGACCCAGACGTACAGCCTCCGGCCCGGGGTCAGCAAGGAGCAGGCCGAAAAGCTCTCCAGCGGCGTCATGCCCGAGGAGGTCCGAGACAGGGAGGGAGCTGCGTCTGTGTCCGCGCCTTCCGGTGGGAGCAGCAAGGACGCCTCACCGACCAAGGCCGAATCCAAAAAGAAGGCCGACGACCTCTACGGCTACTACGACGACGAGGACGATGATTTCGAGGACGACGAGCTGGAATTCGGTGAGAGCGAGAAACTCGCCGCGGCCACCCAAAAGCGCCAGAGCTCCTTCGGATCTTCCGATGGTGCAGGGGCTTCGGCCTCGATCGCGTCGGCCACCGACGCCTCGAAGGTCGCCAAGTCGTCCTTTACCGGCATCTCGAAGCCGTCAAAAGCCAAGTCGACGATGGTCTACATCAAGGCCAGCCTGGGCGTGGCCATTCCCATCTTCTCGTTTCTGGGGGGTCGAAATTACATCCAGCACCGCCGGGAAGCGAAACAGGTCGAGTACAGTCTCAAGGTAATGGATGAAAAACGAGCCGAGCTCTTTGGAATTGACAAGGACGGGAAGAACATTACGAAAACCGAGGACGACGAGGACGAGGACGAGGACGACGAAGATAACGACGGTGAACCATCCGAAGATGGTGATGACGACGACGACGACGATGACGACGATGATGACGACGAACCACCCACCCGAAGACGACGATCCCTGCCAAAAACGCCCAGTGGACCCCTGGGAGGGGGTTCGGGAGGATCTGATTACGACGACGGCGGTGGTGGCGACGATGGTCCCAACGAGGACGACATTCGAAAACTTGGCGATCTCTTCAATAAGTGACGAAAAAGAGGGAAACGAATAGGAAAAAACATACGAAACCGAAACAGTGGAGGATTAACCGGCCAACCCACACTGTATAGCTAGAAAGAAGGCCTCCCGTCGACTAGAAACCGGAGGAATCGTCTCTGCGATCGGATCAAGACGAGACAGAGATGGCATTGCTTTGGTGAGACAAACACGTCATTAAAAAGACCTAATCGCCGTCGTATCAAAGTTTTATCTTAGTTTTTTGTAATGCCCATTCAACCAGCATTTGTTCAACGATGATCAACTACGTTGTTAGTACCAGCACTACTTCTAAAATGGCTATAAATGGGTATTGATCCTAGTACTAAATTGACGGGGCCTTTCAGCAGATCCTTTTGTTGTACCAGCATTTCTTTTTTATATGAGTGTTTATTTTGCTTTTGTGAGCTTCATTGAAAATAACCACACTGTCTTCTTCTTTTGTTGTTAAATGAACAGTCGTATTTTGTGTTTCTCACATGCTGGGTTCCACACCTTTTGCCATGCAACTAGTACAAGAATTTTAGTACTTATTAATAGGAGTAGTGGTCCTAGGCGGGGGGTGGCTTTCTTAGTAGTAGTAGTAGTAGTAGTAGTAGTAGTAGTAGTAGTAGTAGTAGTAGTAGT